AATGAGATCCCTACAGCATCACCAAGGAAGTAGTACAGAAGAAGACTGCACTAGCTGGAAGAGGTTCTGGAAAAGGGAAAGCCTCATTAAGAGTCATTCTCAGGATATTAAAATACATATATATCCCTAATGACACTATATGGAAAGGAGATCACAGCAAGTGCAAAGATGAAATCTAGCATAGGATCATGAAAATAAGGCAGTTCAAGCAACAACAAAAAAAGACGACTCTCCTATAAATGTGAATATCTGAGGCGGAATGGGGAGCATTCTACGGTCTTCACTGGCTTATGCATTCTCTTATAAGTGGACCATAATAGTCTTAGTACAAATTATAACATGCCTCTGTTTCCCAGCAAGATTATAACTGGATTGTTTTTAGCATCTGGCTTCTCACTAAGCTTCTGTTTTCCATTATGTTCAGAGACTACATGCTTTCCCACTCCCCCTAAACAAAACAATACAAAACCCACAAAACAAAGTCCTAGTACTTCAAACATTTTGAAAAGTGTGGAAATAGCTTTCAGGAGGAGGCAGTGGTGGCAGCAGCAATGTTTGGAAAGCCCAATCAAAAATAGTATTTCCAAGCAAACCAGGAGTATGCTTCTGTTAAGTCGCTCCATGAAAAATACTTGCAGGTGACTAGCACAGCATCACAACAGACACTGTCAATGACAGTCTGTCATTTCAGGCCATGTAAAAACAAAGACTGACTGTACTGTATCAGAGATGTGTTTTAATTCCTTTATGAACTGGAAAGGGGCTCCTGGCCGTATATTACTAACTGCTCTCTCTGCTAGCCAATCTCTTATAGAGATGAAGTCATCATAAACTGCCATCCATATGGTATTAGTACAACATTTAAAAAAATCTGGGTCTGACAGCCTTGCCCCTTGTGTGACCATTGACACTTGTGCAGCATGAGTGTAATACACTTCTCTTCTGGTTTGGTGGCATTATGCTCATTTTGCACAGGTCCATTATGCAAGGTGGAAAGCAGCAGAGAATTTGAGCCCTTATGTTTGGCCACAAAATATCTGTACCGTTAAAAAGAATTAACTCAGGGTTTGGGTCGAAGGACCAAATAGGCTATAGGAACCGTTTCAGACATTTCCTTAAAATACTCTGCTCAGCACATAACTGCTGTGGGGTTCGATGTACCATGTGGAAAAGAACAATTCCTACCTTGGCTCTTATCTGATTACAGAGGCATCAGAGAGCCCAGCAGAGCAACACCACCACAGGGCTGCAGGCCAGGCATTTTCGGTTTCAAATGTTGCTCTGAGGGGTCCTGCTGCCATTGACAGGGGGAAAGAAGAAAGCAATATGAATCCTATTTCTCAACTTCAATGTGAACTGCTCCACACAATGGTGAGAAGCGTGATGAATACATTGAATTACTTGTACAATGCCGTTCTGAATGCACTAGGTGTCATAAGCAAGAATTACAGTTCAATAGTCAGCAAGAACCCTTTCACACCCTGGACAGCCAGAAACTTGCAAGGAATGGTGATCAGACCTATGCTTATTCATTGAGGCAGAGCAACAAGGGAAACCATTTTTAAAGGTTTCTTGTTTTATTTATTCAATTTGTAATTAGAGGCTGTGGATCAGAGCACAAAAGAAACTCACAAAGCCATGGGCAAATATTACCTTAAGCAGATTAAACTGATGTCAGAACATCAATAGTGTTATTGTAGGTGTCGTAGCGTACCTCCCAACCTCTCCAGAGTTGATTTGCTAATGCACAGGACATAGTCCTACGAGAATAACCATGTTACTAAATGCAGAGGCAAGTCAGCCCTACAATGTATTTCATTTAAATACAACGGCTCCAGGTGTCAGACGGCTGACCCATTATTAAAGTCTTGCAGAACGGTCAGAGCGTTCCGCCTGGAGTGGGATGCAGCAGAGTTAGGTCCTGGCACACGTACAGAATTTCTAGCCTGGGCGAAGTTAAAATAAATGCACCAAATTAAAAAAGGAAACTCTTTAAGGACAGAAACAGATTGCTTGTGATCTTAGAGAAAAGACAGCGTTTAAAATAAATAAATAAATAAATAAGTGTATGGCCCAGACTGTCCCAGCATGGAGTAAGAGCTGTGGGAGGGGACCTTTTACAAGGGAAACTCCATGAGGAAATTCCCCTGCATCATCCTTGCAGGAGCGGGATGGGGTTGTTCCCTGTGGAAAATCCATACCCAAACTTGGCAGAGCCCAGGGATTCACAGGAGGCCAAGCCCATCTGTGCTCAGATCCTTTACCTCCACAGCAGCTCTAGCTCCCAGCGCCACCCCCCACCCCCGACTCCTCTTCTCCAGTGGAGGCAAGCTAGCAGGGACCCCTATTACCTTACTTTACCCTGGGTGCCACTGGGGCACAGACACCAGCTGGACAACTTCCATGGGGTCAAAGAGGGAACAATATGTGTCTTCCCATACCAGCTCCATCCTGCCCTGGCCCACCCAAACTTTACCCTTTCCTTGGCAGGCCCTGAGCATCACGGTGTGCCCTCTGAAGGGTTCTAGAGGGTGGGATTGTGGTGGTAGTCAACCCTCTTTCCACGCAGGGGGTTTGGCAGCCACAAGTGGAGGACTTCTCCATGCACCTCTTTCAGTGGGCACAATCTGGCCCTATATTAACAGGGAACATGTCTACAAAGAATAAATCCCACAAGTTAGAGGTCGGGCACAGAATAAAGCAAATGTATTTTACAAAGTGACACAGGATATACTAGGCCCATTATCATTGTATCTGGGTGCCAATATGAGAAATATACTAAAATAAAAACCCCATCACTACGGCCCTGATTCAGGAAAGCACTTAAGCATGTGCTTAACTTTAAGTATTAAATATGTGCTTAAGTCCCACTGATGTCACTGGCACTTAGGTACATGTCCAAAGTTAAGTAGGTGTTCAAGTGCTTTCCTGAATGGGGCTCAACTTTGTGAGCCCTCATGCCAAATTTTATAATTAAGAAAGGAAAAGACGGCTCTTAAGTTTTGTGCACCGCAAGATGATTAATTGGTGCCTTTTATAAAAGTCTAAAGAAATAAAATATATAAAACAACTTGCCAGAGGTGACATGGGGGTGGGGGGAGAAGGATGCGGGGTCACATATTCCCCTCCTCCCCAGATTTGCTGCTGGGCTTGAACTTAGCATGCTCAGTAACACTGCTGAAACTGGCTGCCCTCACTCTGCCTCCCCGCCCCCCATTATTGGCAGGCACGGGTCTTCGCTGCAACTTGCTCTCCAGATTTACTTGTAGACATCATGGCACAGAACTATATTTGTATATGGAGGACTGTTACTATCCCGGGACCCAAGGTATGATGTAGCCTCATTTATGCGCTGTATCGGATAGAGGACGGGGAGAACAGTTGCAGCCTTCATTTCCTATTAACTCTCAGCTCTCTGCACGAACATGAGTAATAGCCTCAGAAGCAAAGAACAAAGAAGTCAGATGCAAGGAGCAGGGACAAGAACAAACCATCGAAAAGGGACCAGCATCATCAGGACCGAAAGAATTAAAAAACAAAAAATTCTCATTCTTCTGCAATACGAAGGCTTTCACGCAACAGTATTAGTGCTGAATAAATAAATGCCTAACCACTTAGGAACGACAGCCGGTGTCTCTCTGTAACGAAGGGCAGTTATGTGGAGGTGTGTTGAAGGCATGTGCTGTAGGTTCAGATCTTTTCCCCAGGTGTTCCTTTCCAACATCTCAGCAGAGCACAAAAGGAAATTATGAGGAAAATTGATCCTAATGCAGCTTTTATTTTATTTAGGTTTTGGTTCTCCCTCGTCTCCCTCCCTCCCACTGTGAAAGATGCAGGAGGAAACACTGCCAGTCACATTAGCAAGATTTCTGGGCCGAATCTGATTTACCTCAAATAAACAAATTAATATATCTTTCAAAGTGTACATCTCCCTGCACTGGAAATGCTGCAGAATGCAATCTGGGACACAGACTGTTCTGTGGAAGACCCAGCTTCAGAAGAGACCTGGGACTGATGGTATGGAGACGCTTGGGTGAGTACTGGAGAAATCTAAAATAGCCATTGCGGTTTAATGCCCAGTTTTTTAAGCCATGACATTCCTGCTCATTTTTCACTCTGCACAGACTTTGAACTCTTACTTGTTGCCACTACAATTGACAACCAGTTTGCAGTCAGTTTTTAATTGGCAATGATGGCAAGTATCAATATACTTACCCAGAGACAGGGTGTATCAGGCAGGAGAGCTATTCCACCACGTGCCTTTAGGCAACCTTCTTACTATCATCTGGGACATCACACTGGTGAATATCACACAGATGTTGCAGGGGTGGGCTTAAGGATGAGTGTCAAAGCAAAGATCTGGCAGGAGCAACTAGCAAACACACAGAGAGAGTGGCAAGCAATCCACAGCCAACATTTTCCCACGCATGGAAAGCCTCATCTGTGACTGTTCTGTAGAATGGTTTGCAGTTAAAATGGAACTGAGATTGGCATCCCGAGGCTGAGACCTTTAGGAAAGGAAATGCTGCAAGCCTTCCTTTTGGATAAAGCTTTTTCACCATAACCAGAAAGTCATCCATAGCATCAACTTCTCCCTCTCAAAGACAAAGAACCCCCTTCCTCCAAAACCAAGCAGACCTTTCTAGATAGGGTTACCATATTTAATCAATCAAAAAAGAGGACGGAAGGAGCCCCGCCCTAGCCCTGTCCCAATCCTGCCCTAGCCCCACCCCTGCCCCTTCCACTCCCTCCCACTTCCCGCCCCTCTCAGAACCCCCAACCCTCCC